GAGACAAACCCATCAGTAATACAAGTTTAAAACCGACAAGAAGGGGCATTCTCCTGTTATTGCATGGACCCCCCCCCCATCAAGTTATGTTTCTTGATGCCGGTGAGGGGCTCTTGATCTAGGGAATTAGATCTGTCCTCCAATTCCCTAAATTAATCCTGAATGCCTTCCATCCCTCTTCCCATTTCCCCTTCCCTGTCATAATAATAATAATTAATAATAATAATAATAATAATAATAATAATAATAAACAATAATAATAATAATAATAATAATAATAATAATAATAATTTCACAGATTCCATCATTTTGACTGTAGAAAGTTATGGATTCAGATTCGATTCAAGCAAAAGGAGGTCAAGTCCAATTTCTAAAAACATAAGAAAGGAGGAGCACTGCAGCAGGTCTATGGGCCCATACTAGGCAAGTTCATCTCAATACATAAAGAAAAATATCTATCCAGTTCATTTTTAAGATCCTCTCACCAGCATCAAGGCAAAATAATGTAGTAAAATATAATAATCTTATATCACTTGGTAAGTTAGTGACAAAATAGAACCCACACACTGCATTAACATTACCAGTCTTCTGAAGAGCTTGGTAATGTTATTGTTTATAAAGGGAATGTTTAGTGCAGGGAAAATAATCTGAGAATAGCCTGTGTAACATTGCCCATTGTCCAGCCAGGCAAAACAACAGCACTATAATACACACCCCAGATACAGTGTACCACCATTAATAAAACAGCACTATAATACACACCCCAGATAGTGTACCACTATTAATAAAACAGCACTATAATACACACCCCAGATACAGTGTACCACTATTTATAAAACAGCACTATAATACACACCCCATATAATGTACCACCATTAATAAAACAACACTATAATACACACCCCAGATACAGTGTACCACCATTAATAAAACAGCACTATAATACACACCCCAGATAGTGTAAAACCATTAATAAAAGAGCACTATAATACACACCCCAGATACAGTGTACCACAGTTAATAAAACAGTAATATAATATACACTTACCCTTGATACAGTGTACCACCGTCAATAAAACAGTAATATAATATACACTTACCCTTGATACAGTGTACCACCGTTAATAAAACAGTAATATAATATACACTTACCCTTGATACAGTGCACCATCGTTAATAAAACAGTAATATAATATACACTTACCCTTGATACAGTGTACCACCGTTAATAAAACAGTAATATAATATACACTTAACCCTTGATACAGTGCACCATCGTAATAAAACAGTAATATAATATACACTTTCCCTTGATACAGTGCACCATCGTTAATAAAACAGTAATACAATATACACTTACCCTTGATACAGTGTACCACCGTTAATAAAACAGTAATATAATATACACTTACCCTTGATACAGTGTTCCACCGTTAATAAAACAGTAATATAATATACACTTACCCTTGATACAGTGCACCACCGTTAATAAAACAGTAATATAATATACACTTACCCTTGATACAGTGTACCATTGTTAATAAAACAGTAATATAATATACACTTACCCTTGATACAGTGCACCACCGTTAATAAAACAGTAATATAATATACACTTACCCTTGATACAGTGTACCATTGTTAATAAAACAGTAATATAATATACACTTACCCTTGATACAGTGTACCACCGTTAATAAAACAGTAATATAATATACACTTACCCTTGATACAGTGCACCACCGTTAATAAAACAGTAATATAATATACACTTACCCTTGATACAGTGTACCATCGTTAATAAAACAGTAATATAATATACACTTACCCTTGATACAGTGTACCACCGTTAATAAAACAGTAATATAATATACACTTACCCTTGATACAGTGCACCACCGTTAATAAAACAGTAATATAATATACACTTACCCTTGATACAGTGTACCATCGTTAATAAAACAGTAATATAATATACACTTACCCTTGATACAGTGTACCATCGTTAATAAAACAGTAATATAATATACACTTACCCTTGATACAGTGTACCACCGTTAATAAAACAGTAATATAATATACACTTACCCTTGATACAGTGTACCACCGTTAATAAAACAGTAATATAATATACAATTACCCTTGATACAGTGCACCACCGTTAATAAAACAGTAATATAATATACAATTACCCTTGATACAGTGTACCACCGTTAATAAAACAGTAATATAATATACACTTACCCTTGATACAGTGCACCACCGTTAATAAAACAGTAATATAATATACACTTACCCTTGATACAGTGCACCATCGTTAATAAAACAATAATATAATATACACTTACCCTTGATACAGTGCACCATCGTTAATAAAACAGATATTACTGTTTTATTAACGATGGTGCACTGTATCAAGGGTAAGTGTATATTATATTAAATATACACTTACCCTTGATACAGTGCACCACCGTTAATAAAACAGTAATATAATATACACTTACCCTTGATACAGTGCACCATCGTTAATAAAACAGTAATATAATATACACTTACCCTTGATACAGTGCACCATCGTTAATAAAACAGTAATATAATATACACTTACCCTTGATACAGTGCACCATCGTTAATAAAACAGTAATATAATATACACTTACCCTTGATACAGTGCACCACTGTTAATAATTTCCAGCTCAGCAATAAGACATTGTAAGAATTATAATCGAATATTTTGGAGTAAGAAAATATTTAATGAGAAATGTTCAGAAAATAACTCACTAAAAATGCGAAATACTTTTTTTTCAAAAAATTTTTCTTTAGTTCAAATTCTTTTTCGATTTTCGTACAATCTTGTAAGGAAAATCCCATAAAAATAGTTTAATAAAAAAATTTAGGAAAATTAATTAGCTGCCAACCATAATGGCCGCCAAAATTACAAAAATACTTCCAGTTAAGAGAGACAAGTGTTTAGCGTTTGAAGCCGAGCAGCAGAACCATTCTCTAGTTATTACATAGGAAGCAGTTTAACAAAATTATTATATTGAAATTTACAGAGCTTAAAGTGAGCGCTAGAGTATAATAAAGCCAAACAACGGATCAGAAAAGGCATTCTCCAGTAATTAATATGTTTTCAGTGATACCAAGATTCAGTACAAAGTTTCAACCTTGAACCAACTCCCACTAATCTTATAAGACATCATCATTCTTACAGAATACTTCTCAATTTATAGTTTAAAACCTATCAGCCGAATCATTGTTAAGTTACAGAATATAAATGCTGCCATTTATTCAATAAAATCACCTGAGATTACGCCATACAATAATAGCATTAACCTTGAGTACAAGAAATCACACCAGTGGAGAAAATCTGAAGCCGATCAGACGAGTCATTATCCAGTTATGACAACGATTTCACAGATTTAAAGATAATCTACTTTACTGCATCCAAAAGAATTGCCTGCAAGCAAAAAAAAAAAAAAAAAAAAAAGGAACTTAACGAGCACCATCCTGGCACTAAGACACATCCGCCATTATTTACTAAAGTCGCTCAGAAGTAAACATGGCCACATATATACCAATACATGTGCCCATTTTACTCTAAGTCCTCGTTGAATTTCGGGGCATTGTTTCTTGAGGATTCCAAGGTACGCTGTTAAGAATTTTAGAGTTCTAGCTATTCCAGGATGCTGCGACCAGAGGCCTGGTCACAGACAGAGCCGAGGGGGCGTTGACCCCCGAAACCCCCTCTAGGTTCACTCCAGGTAGGACACCTGTACATGCCAGTTCCAAAATCTGCCCCTATTGACCATACATGGAGTATACCTGGACTGGGTTCTAGGGGTCAACGCCCCCGCTGCCTGGTTCAAGACCAGACCTCGTAAAAAATGTGGAACACTTCACGATTTCGCTTGTCATCCTTGATAATTCTGAAGTCACTGACTGAGGTCTTCGAGTTATGAGCAAAATAACCCGCTCATAGGAGACTGCAAATTATGACGACGTTTCGGTCCAAGTAGAACCATTATCTAGTGTGACAGAAATGTAATAAGTTTGTCTATGTGTGGCTTCGAAAAAATACCCACAAATGTAATATAATGCTATCCTATATACCGCAATATACTGCATTTGTTTATTTTTTCCATCCAATCGGTATTTTATATCACTAATCTCCATGTGTGGATTTTCTGAATATTTGAAGAAATAACTATTAAAGAATAAATTAAGAACACTGTTGAAGCTTCTCTGTTGGGGATACGTAATAAATGAAGTACACACAGAATATACACTGACAGACATACACTTCTCGGTGTATCAAACTTATGCTAGGTTAGTAAATTACCTTTCCAGAGTTGCTGTCTACCAGCCTTCTACATCGTTAAGCTATGGTAGCTTAACCATGTAGTAGGCTGGTCTTCAGCCTGACACAAGGGTAGGATAACCCAACACTCAGATATATCAACAAGGGTAGCATAACCCAACACTCAGATATATCAACAAGGGTAGCATAACCCAACACTCAGATATATCAACAAGGATAGCATAACCCAACATTCTGATATACCAGCAAGGGTAGGATAACGCAACACTCAGATATACCAGCAAGGGTAGGATAACGCAACACTCAGATATACCAGCAAGGGTAGGATAACGCAACACTCAGATATACCAGCAAGGGTAGGATAACGCAACACTCAGATATACCAGCAAGGGTAGGATAACGCAACACTCAGATATACCAGCAAGGGTAGGATAACGCAACACTCAGATATACCAGCAAGGGTAGGATAACGCAACACTCAGATATACCAGCAAGGGTAGGATAACGCAACACTCAGATATACCAGCAAGGGTAGGATAACGCAACACTCAGATATACCAGCAAAGGTAGGATAACGCAACACTCAGATATACCAGCAAGGGTAGGATAACGCAACACTCAGATATACCAGCAAGGGTAGGATAAGTACTTTAAGGTATGTTTACTGTAAATTCAGTCTTACTTGATAATCAGGAACCAGATGACGATTACCTGGAAAATAAATAAACAAAAGTTTATCATTTAAAGTAGGAGAATTATAATATAACGATTAATTACATTTGCAAATATTAACATGATTATGTACAACTGAAATTAAAGAGGTCATTCAATTAGGTAAATTGATCGGAAGAAACAACACTGTTGTTGCTGCCTCTGGTGACCCAGCTTAGGTAACTAAATTGAGTTAACATGACTCACGAAATCGTAATGACACGAGTGCAAACAAACCATACCATGGTGGGGTTTGATCCCGCGGTCAGAGTCTCAAAACTCCAGACCGTCGCGTTAGCCACTGGACCAGCTGGTCCAGTGGCTAACGCGACGGTCTGGAGTTTTGAGACTCTCTGACCGCGGGATCAAACCCCACCCGTGGTATGGTTTAGTTGAGTTAATCCAGTGTTGTGAGTTGCTTCCTTGCCAGGACGATAACACTCTAATAATGATTTTGAAGAGGGGAGATCCTCCTTTCTCTGTGTCTGTCTGTCTCTCTCTTATTTACACAATGGTTTCATATGAATTAGTGTTCCTATCTTACGTAGGTTTCGTTAAACAACTGGATACATAATATACAAATTTTGCCACTTTTAATCTCGAAATGGTATATTATTATTTTACATTATTACATTTGTTTGCCATGATGTTTGTGAGAAGCTCTTGATCCAAGAAACTGGACATATCTTTCCTTAGCATCACATCGCACAGGTGCTGTGTGACCTCTACAGGTTAGCACTTCCCATTGAATAAAACACAACAATGGTGAACAGTATCAATACTTAATGGCTGATTCGTCTTACGAAATACGTGAAAAACTTTTTGGCTTCAGGTCGTTTAGGTGCAGTTTTTTTTGGACTCTGTGGAATAACTGCATATTAATTCTTCTAATCTGCTTTATTAAACTTTTAGGTTTGTTGAGTTTTCCTGAGTGTAAGTTTTACCATATTTTCTGGTTGTGAGAGGTTTTAATATACTAATTTTTAATCAAATAGATTTTCCTGAAATAACTTGAGCCGATTCTGGTAAAAAAAGAAAATCAGTTTGATTTTAACGGGTTACCTTAGGTTAAATCTATATAATGTACACTTAAGTCTCACTTAATTACTTACATACCTACTTAAACTTTAGATGATGATAAATTTTGCTTAGGAAAATATTTATATTAGCCTGTGATGGTCCCAACTGCTTTTTTGACAGACAAAAAAGGCATATTTGACATTATTTCCATATGACAATTTCCGAGCTCCAGTTGTAATTATTTTCACCACTCTACGCTGGTAAACATACTGGTGAGGTTTAAGATATTTTTGCCTCTGAGATAACCAGAGAATTCCTCTTCAGTTTGATTTCAAACCTGATGTTTCTTATTGAAAAGTTTGAGTCAGTATAAAACTATAGAAACGTCAATAACATGTTTAACAACTCAAATAACATAAACAACGGGCCTCAGAAAGACGATAGCAAATATTACACTATTACATATAACGAAGTGCATAAAAAACACATAAAAGCATAAACGTGCGAAAAAGGATGGAAATCCCAAACAGATAAAAACAAAGGTGATATAGATGTCAATGAGGACAACATAAAGAGAGAGATGGATATCAGTTTGTATAAAACATGGGGAAAACGTGGATAAAACTATGGAAAAGAACTAGAGAAGGACGTGAATAAGACTGAGGATTGATAAAATGGATGACCACACTGATACTAAGATATTAAAATAAGCAAGAGCTAAACATGCAACATAATTCCAGTACATAGTTGGACCTTCCACATGACACTAACAGTGGTCAGCAACAAATGACACTAACAGTGGTCAGCAACACATGACACTAACAATGGTCAGCAACACATGACACTAACAGTGGTCAGCAACACATGGCACTAACAGTGGTCAGCAACACATGGCACTAACAGTCGTCAGCAACACATGACACTAACGGTGGTCAGCAACACATGACACTAACAATGGTCAGCAACACATGACACCCAAAAAGTGGTCAGCAACACATGGGACTAACAGTGGTCAGCAACACATGGCACTAACAGTGGTCAGCAACACATGGCACTAACAGTGGTCAGCAACACATGACACTAACAATGGTCAGCAACACATGACACAAACAGTGGTCAGCAACACATGGCACTAACAGTGGTCAGCAACACATGGCACTAACAGTGGTCAGCAACACATGACACTAACAGTGGTCAGCAACACATGGCACTAACAGTGGTCACAACACATGGCACTAACGGTGGTCAGCAAAACATGACACTAACAATGGTCAGCAACACATGACACAAACAGTGGTCAGCAACACATGACACTAACAATGGTCAGCAACACATGACACTAACATGTGTCAGCAACACATGACACTAACAGTGGTCACAACACATGACACTAACAGTGGGTCAGCAACACATGACACTAACAGTGGTCAGCAACACATGACACTAACAGTGGGCACAACACATGACACTAACATGGTCAGCAACACATGACACTAACAGTGGTCAGCAACACATGACACTAACAGTGGTCAGCAACACATAACACTAACAATGGTCAGCAACACATGACACTAACAGTGGTCAGCAACACATGACACTAACAGTGGTCAGCAACACATGACACTAACGGTGGTCAGCAACACATGACACTAACAATGGTCAGCAACACATGACACAAACAGTGGTCAGCAACACATGGCACTAACAGTGGTCAGCAACACATGGCACTAACAGTGGTCAGCAACACATGGCACTAACAGTGGTCAGCAACACATGACACTAACAATGGTCAGCAACACATGACACAAACAGTGGTCAGCAACACATGGCACTAACAGTGGTCAGCAACACATGGCACTAACAGTGGTCAGCAACACATGACACTAACAGTGGTCAGCAACACATGGCACTAACAGTGGTCAGCAACACATGGCACTAACGGTGGTCAGCAACACATGACACTAACAATGGTCAGCAACACATGACACAAACAGTGGTCAGCAACACATGACACTAACAATGGTCAGCAACACATGACACTAACAGTGGTCAGCAACACATGACACTAACAGTGGTCAGCAACACATAACACTAACAGTGGTCAGCAACACATGACACTAACAGTGGTCAGCAACACATGACACTAACAGTGGTCAGCAACACATGACACTAACAGTGGTCAGCAACACATGACACTAACAGTGGTCAGCAACACATGACACTAACAGTGGTCAGCAACACATAACACTAACAATGGTCAGCAACACATGACACTAACAGTGGTCAGCAACACATGACACTAACAGTGGTCAGCAACACATGACACTAACAGTGGTCAGCAACACATGACACTAACAGTGGTCAGCAACACATGACACTAACGGTGGTCAGCAACACATGACGCTAACGGTGGTCAGCAACACATGACACTAACTGTGGTCAGCAACACATGACACTAACGGTGGTCAGCAACACATGACACTAACGGTGGTCAGCAACACATGACACTAACGGTGGTCAGCAACACATGACACTAACGGTGGTCAGCAACACATGACACTAACGGTGGTCAGCAACACATGACACTAACGGTGGTCAGCAACACATGGCACTAACAGCTGTCAGCAATACATGACACTAACAGTGGTCAGCAACAAATGACACTAACAGTGGTCAGCAACACATAACGCTAACAGTAGTCGGCAACACATGGCACTAACAGCTGTCAGCAATACATGACACTAACAGTAGTCAGCAACACATAACGCTAACAGTAGTCAGCAACACATGACACTAACAATGGTCAGCAACACATGGCACTAACAGTGGTCAGCAACACATGACACTAACAGTGGTCAGCAACACATGGCACTAACAGCTGTCAGCAATACATGACACTAACAGTAGTCAGCAACACATAACGCTAACAGTAGTCAGCAACACACAACGCTAACAGTAGTCAGCAACACATGACACTAACAATGGTCAGCAACACATGGCACTAACAGTGGTCAGCAACACATGACACTAACAGTGGTCAGCAACACATGGCACTAACAGCTGTCAGCAATACATGACACTAACAGTAGTCAGCAACACATAACGCTAACAGTAGTCAGCAACACACAACGCTAACAGTAGTCAGCAACACATGACACTAACAATGGTCAGCAACACATGACACTAACAGTGGTCAGCAACACATGACACTAACAGTGGTCAGCAACACATGACACTAACAGTGGTCAGCAATACATGACACTAACAGTGGTCAGTAACGCATGACGCTAACAGTAGTCAACAACGCATAACGCTAACAGTAGTCAGCATCACATAACGCTAACAGTAGTCCGCAACACATGGCGCTAACAGTAGTCAGCAACACACAACGCTAACAGTAGTCAGCAACACATGACACTAACAGTAGTCAGCAACACATGGCGCTAACAGTAGTCAGCAACACACAACGCTAACAGTAGTCAGCAACACATGACACTAACAGTAGTCAGCAACACATGACACTAGCAGTAGTCAGCAACACATGGCGCTAACAGTAGTCAGCAACACACAACGCTAACAGTAGTCAGCAACACATGACACTAACAGTAGTCAGCAACACATAACGCTAACAGTAGTGAGCAACACTTGACACTAAGGCGACCACCACATAACATTTACCATTATAATTACCATATGAGGCCATGGTAACCATCGCATGACACTGTCCCTGGAAAAAAAAACTTGATTAGTGGAAATTAGTAAGTTTATGAATAATTAAGTGAGAACCAAGTTAAAGAAGCACCGATAATTAAGTAAGACACAGACAGCTATGTTAAACATAGTACAGCAAGTCGCGGAAATATAGATATGTCAGACGCAGAGGCGGAGGTTAGACTCACATAAGTGATTGAGACAGACATGTCAGACACAGAGAGCTTAGATACAAACAGGCAAGCAAGTTAGAGCAATATGAGAGAGAGAGAGAGAGAGAGAGAGAGAGAGAGAGAGAGAGAGAGAGAGAGAGACAGACACAGACAGACAGACAGACAGACAGACAGACAGACAGACAGACAGACACAGACAGAGGCACTTCATTAATATCTGTGGTATAGCATATCAACATGTTATCAAGACATGCGGATTATGGCGTTTTACTGAGAAGACGTTTCGCCCACCAGGTGACCTCATCCAGGGCCCTTAATCCCGAAGGGGCCCCAACTTCGACTGTAGTCCACATTACTTAATTTTTTTAGGTCTACTGTATGAGGGGTTGCGATGGGGCCCCCCATTAACAATTCAAGCTTCAGGGCCCACAGAAATGTAGGTCTGCCACTGACCTCATCAATAAAACGCCATTGACAGCATTACTGTGTCGTATTCCAGCAAATGAGCTCCGGTACAAGGAGAACTTTGACATAGACTCACGGAGAGGTGTGCTGGGAGAGAAGGCCTTGTTGCTGTAGCTGGGATAGTTCACCTTCTTGTTATATTTCTTGGTAGTACCTCGACCTCGCAGCAGTGTCACCACACGACCCTGAACCACAAAGTTCATCGTTTAAGACACCGTTGATTATTATTTTTGGGGGGAAGGGGAAGCGTTATGGTCTTAAATTATTTGTTGTAGTTTAACCCAAGTTAAACAGCCCCTTCCCCTTTTTGTTGTTTAAATAATAAACAACAATAGTAATAAGTAATAAAAATAGTAGTAATAGTAGTAGTCATAGTAGTAGTAATAATAACAGTAATAATAAATATTGGCATTAATAACAACAATACTAGTAATAATAATATATGTTCGTAAACACACTGGTCGTGTCCTGCCAAGTCAGAGAGAGAAGACGTTCTCTCAGTCGCTGTCTTACCGGAAGTGAGCTGACATCACACCTCAGATGACCTGAACAACAGCATCCTTACCTGTCCCCACTGAAGACCAAATGATGGAAATAATACCAACAATAACATGGATAATAAAGAGAGAGCAACAGGTGGTGCATCACGTCTGCTGTACCTCCCCAGGTGGTGCATCACGTCTGCTGTACCTCCCCAGGTGGTGCATCACGTCTCTTGTACCTCCCCAGGTGGTGCATCACGTCTGCTGTACCTCCCCATGTGGTGCATCACGTCTCTTGTACCTCCCCAGGTGGTGCATCACGTCTGCTGTACCTCCTCAGTCACCAACACTTGTCACAGCAACCTCCAGTGATCTCCATTACTCCGCCACTTGGCTCCCATATTCCTCAGAGCTCCTACAATGTTTCTTATAATATCTATTATCATTGTAGCTTTAATTTTCTTATTTTTTTATTTTTAGAGTCATTATTTTAATTTTTATTATGTTAGTGCTGTTTACCTGGAGTTTGCCTGGAGAGGGTTTCGGGGGTCAACGCCCCCGTTGCCCGGTCTGAGACCATGTCTCATGGTGGATGAGGGTATGATCAACCAGCCTGTTACTGCTGGCCCCACTCAAGCTGACGTACGAACCACAGCCCGGTTGGTCAGGTACTGACTTAGGTGCCTGTCCAGTACCTTCTTGAAGACAGTCAGGGGTCTATTGGTACTCCCCCTTATGTATGCTGGAGGCAATTGAACAGTCTTGGGCCCCGGACACTTATTGTGTTGTCTCTCAGTGTACTCGTGACGCCCCTGCTTTTCATCGGGGGAATGTTGCATCTCCTGCCGAGTCTTTTGCTTTCATATGGAGTGATTTTCTTGTGCAGGTTTGGTACCAAATCCTTAAAGGGACCTTCCATGTGTAATTATCATGTATCTTTTCCCGTCTGCGTTCCCAGGGAATACAGATCAAGGCCTTCAACCGTTCCCAGTATTTGGGTGCCTTATCGCACTAAGTGCCGTGAAAGTTATTTGTACACTCCCGGGTCTGAAAATGTCGCCACCTTGAGGGGGAACGTAGTGTACAGCAGATTCCAGCCTAGAGGGGCACAACGATTTGAAGAGACTAACATGGGTTTTGGCGCCCCTATTTTGGGGTTCTCATTACCACATCATTTCAGGGGATGATGTAGATACATTTTTGTGGTCTTTAAAGGGCGAGAACCTCTACATTATCACTCCCAGGCCCTTTCAATTATTTTTTCCGCCTATTTTATGTTAAATTTGTTGATCCCCTGACACATTTTTAATTTCTTCAAGTTTCCCATACTGATAGAAAAATTTTCCCCCGTTGAACTTCATACTTTTTTTGAGGGGCCCAGAAAAGATTTGGTTCATGTCCGCTTGGAGTCCGCTGTGTCTTCGACAGAAGTCACTGCCAGGCAACCGGGGTATCATCGAAAGGAAGACATGGAGCTATGGCTTACAATCTGTCTATGTTAGAAATCAGAATGAGGAAAGAATGGGACGAGTACTGTGCCCTTTTGAAACAAACTTACCATGGGGCCTGGGGCTTTTCTCTGTTTACTATTACTCTTTGTGTTTTTTATTTGTCAGGAAGTTATAGATCCATCTACCCAAATTTTCCCTTATTCCCTTTTCCCGCATTTTGTGTGCATTACACCATGGTCACACTTGTCAAAGCTTTGCAAAGTCCCTGTAACACAACTGATTTTTTTTATCCTCTACAGCAACGAGGACCCTTTTCATAGTGGGTCCTGGGACAGGCAGGAGCGACCTTTTCTAAACCCGGGTTTCCCTGGGTTGTATAATTCATGGGATCTAGGGGTTGGGGTATCTTTCTTTTTGAGAACCCCTCAAAGATTTTTATGATATGGGATGTTAGTGCTATGTCTGTGTTCTTTGCAATTTCTTTTCTGCCACCTTTGTGGGAAAGGGCTATGTCTTTGTTTTTATGTGTGGGGATGACCCCTGTGTCCATGCCCCCTCTCCTAAAATGTTGAACACGCGATACGGGTTCTTGCAGTTCTTGATGAACACAGTTCCATGAGTTGGGGCCCGGGGGAAGTGCTGGGGAAAGTCATTTAATTTCCTCTTGAAAGCTTTTGGAGTTTGAATAATATCCGAGACTTTTGGGGTGACCAAATTTTTTGGTTTTGTTTATAAAGAAATTTATTTGGGTTTTCGACCCTTAAGTGGGTGGGTTTGCGAACACTGAGTCTATTGGACTTTTGTATCCCTCATTTTTTTGGGTATCATCTGTGTAGTCCCATCCCTCCCAAGCAGGGCCCCAAAACGGGTTTATTTTTTTTTTAATTTGGCATAAGAGAAAAAAGATTTTTCTTTTTTATCAATTTCCTTATGGCTTTTTTTTCTTTCCCGTGATTTTTGCTCCTGTTAGATTCCTTCACTTAATTCGATATTTGCATTTCACTGACTACGCCTCCTTCTTTTCAGAAAATTGACCCCATCCAGCTCGTGACTCTTCGCCTTCCTGTAAAAAGGAAGTTTCTCTCTTTTTTATTTACAAATTTTCTTTTTTTCTAATGGAAAATATCTTGAGCAGACCTCAAAAACCACAGAATTCTTTTTTTTAAGGCAAATGTTCGGATCCGTGTTGTTTAGGATATCTTCCCAGCTTGTTTCATTTAGGACATGGGTTATTTGATCCCATTGTATGTTTTTGTTTTTGAAATCGAATTTCGTGAAAAGACCTTCACGACTGCTCACATTTTGCTGGTCCGGAGCCCTGTGCATACATGTCTGTACCTCTATTATGTTGTGATCTGAGTGTATTGTCTTTGATACAGTTATATTACGTATCAGATCATCAATGTTAGCGAAGATGAGGTCCAGCATATTTTCCAGTCTTGTAGGCTCTAGAATTTGCTGGTTTAAGGTGAATTTGGTGCAGAGATTTAATAGTTAGTGTGTGTGTGAATTTTCATCTGAGCTGCCTCCCGGGGTGATCTCTGCTAAAACATTGTTTGCTATACTCCTCCATTTTAGGTGTCTCAGGTTGAAATCTCCTAGTAGTAAGATGTTTGGGGCAGGAGTTGGGAGATTTTCCACACAGTGGTCAATTTTCTCAAGATTTCTCCTGGAATTGCTGGGAAGTTTCATCTGGAGGCTTGTATACTACCACAATGGCAAGGTTTTGGTTTTCAGTCTTTACCGCCAAAACTTCAACTACATCATTTGAGGTGTTTAGTAGTTCTGTGCAAATGAGCGACTCTGTGACATACAGGCCAACCTCACCTTGTTGCCTCTTTAGTCTGTTGCATCGGAATAGGTTATAACCTGGGATCCATATTTCGTTGTCATAATGATCCTTTATGTGGGTCTCTGTGAATGCTGCAAACATTGCATTTGAGTCCATGAGCAGTCCCTTGATGTAAGGATTTTTTTTTTTTGACGGCTTTAAACCCTGTATGTTTACAAAGACAAATGTCGTATTGGTGGAATTTAGGGGGTTTTATTTGCTGGCTCTAATGTCTGTTGTTCTGGGGTAGAGGCCAATGTCCGTGCCTCTGCTCCAGAAGTGTTTTCAGTTGGTGTAGGATTATTGTCATTTCTTGCAAGTCTTTTATCCCTCCTGGCCCTAAAAACCTCTGTCACTGAAGAGGTTGTGGTTCCTCTCTTTTGTTTCCCATAGTCTGGCTGGTCTGTGTCTCCAGTCCCATTAAGATGATGTGCCTGGCAGTATGTACTGTAGCATTTTCTTTCATGGATTGATGAGTGACACATTTCTGGCCGAAATAAGTTACAAGAAGGGAAGTTGCATTTTCCTGTTGTCATGTGAGTGCGGCATTTTTTGGGATGGTCAAAGATGCATGTCCTACCTGTTTTACCAGATATACCGTGCCTGCAGACACCCTGTTAGCAGTAGTTCTTCGTTGTTATTATTATATTTTGACAAAGTGCTCAATGTGTAGGTGTCAAATAGTGCATGGAGAAAGGGAGGGTAATCAAGTTTGATAAGAGGACAGGTAGGATTGCCCCAATTCCTTGGATCATGAGCCCATCACCAGCCACAAAGCACCTACTCCCACACTCGTCTAACACACTAACCTGGCAACACATTCACCCAGCAACACGCTTTGCAACATAAACAGCAGCAAACTCGCCTAGCTACACCCCAAAAAATACGCTCAACATACTCAACACACTTAGCGGTCCCTCAATTAGCAACACACCAAACAACACTTATCAGCTGTCACCTAGCAATACACTCACATGGCAACACAATTAAAAAAAAAAAAAACATTCACCAAAAATCCACTCAAACAGCAACACACCCACCCAGCAGTAACCTGAGCAGTTTATTCACAAAGAACTCGCCTAGCCTAGCAACACACTCAGCTAGACGACCATTCCTTCAACAACACACTTCCACATCAAAATGGTATACAATACCGACAGGTTGGTAGGTAAGACACATAGGCAACAGTTAGGCAACTTTATTCCGAAACGTTTCGCCTACACAGTAGGTTTCTTAGTAGAATACAGAAAGTAGGCAGGAACAGAAGAGATGTGAAGACGATGTAATCAGTCCATCACCCTTGAAGTCTGGAGAAGTTCAGATAGTTCAGGAACTATCTGAAGAACAAGGGACAGTGCGGAGACTTAAATACTGTCGGAAGGAGAGGTGCAGAGTAGTAGTAGTAGTGAGAATGTAGCCACTGAGAGGTCAGGTCCCTCTCAGATCCAACAGTTCTCACTTGAAAGGGTTGTCCAAGGTGTTTTCTGTACCAAGAGGCCATGTGTTGCAGTGTCTGACAAGATGGTATACTATGGAACTGAACTTCTCCAGGCTGAGGGACTGACAACCTCAAATTCTACGACTTCAAGGGTGATGGACTGATTACATCGTCTTCACATCTCTACTGTTCCTGCCTACTTTCTGTATTCGACTGAAGACGCCTACTGTGTAGGCGAAACGTTTCGGAATAAAGTTGCCTAACTGTTGCCTATGTGTCTTACCTACCAACCTGACGGTATTGTATACCATTTTGATGTTCATCTTGTCAGACACTGCAACACATGGCCTCTTGGTACAGAAAACACCTTGGACAACCCTTTCAAGTGAGAACTGTTGGATCTGAGAGGGACCTGACCTCTCAGTGGCTACATTTTCACTACTACTACTACTCTGCACCTCTCCTACCGACAGTATTTAAGTCTCCACACTGTCCCTTGATCTTCAGATAGTTCCTGACTATGGAACTGAACTTCTCCAGGCTGAGGGACTGACAACCTCAAATTCTACGACTTCAAGGGTGATGGACTGATTACATCGTATTCACATCTCTACTGTTCCTGCCTACTTTCTGTATTCGACTGAAGAAGCCTACTGTGTAGGCGAAACGTTTCGGAATAAAGTTGCCTAACTGTTGCCTATGTGTCTTACCTACCAACAACACACTTACTTAGCAATATAACTACCGAGACACACGCAAAGACCAATACACAAAAAAAATGGACATAGGAGAAAGGAGCTTACGACGACATTTCGGTCGGACCTGGACCATTTACAAAGTCGCACTAACATACACAGTAACATTTACAAAGTCGCACTAACATACACAGTAACATTTACAAAGTCGCACTAACATACACAAGTAACAATTTTACAAAGTCGCACTAACATACACAGTAACATTTACAAAGTCGCACTAACATACACAGTAACATTTACAAAGTCGCACTAACATACACAGTAACATTTACAAAGTCGCACTAACATACACAGTAACATGTTCACCAGGAAAAGCACTAACCTGGAAACACACTCAGCAACATACTAACCAAGCAATACACTCAAGCAGTTACTTACAACACACTCGTCATGCAGCACACATGTTAACCTACCCAGCAAGCACTCGCCTAGCAACATGAGGCACTCGCCTAGCAACATGAGCACTCGCCTAGCCAACCATGACTAATTGCCACTGACCCAGCAATTCACTATTGATTGTTAGGTAAAGGAACACATGTGAAGCTAGTGTGACATTTTATTGTGGCAACGTTTTGCTCTCTGTGGCTTGACACACCTCACCTAGAGAAAGAGAAACTCGTTCAGTAACACGTGTCAACACACTCACCTTTGATAAACCTGCTTGATTCATGTTTTCCATTTCCATCTCGTTGCTGGCTGTTGGTTCCTCCATCTCCTCTGATGACAATAATGAACACAAGGATAATTAACACAAGGATATGAGCTCACACACACACACACACACACACATACACACACACACCACACACACACACACACACACACACACACACACACACACACACACACACACACACACACACACACACACACACACACACAATATATATATATATATATATATATATATATATATATATATATATATTATATATATATATATATATATATATATATATATATGTATATAATATGAATATTCAGGTATATTACTGTTAAAAGGATAGTGAAATTCAAGCGATTTCGTGACTTCTAACATTATCAAGGTACTATAAGTTCATATAGTTCACAATTCTTCACAGTGGTTGTTTTGATATTGTGAATTATCACTTGTTTACGTGATCTTATTGCGTTATATATATATATTTAATTATATATATATTATAAGTAATATATTAGATATATAGATATATATATATATATATTAAAATAATATTTATATATTATATGCATGCATGCAAGGGTGTCGTAGGTAAGTTTGGGGTGCCAGGTGTAAATGATAATGGGAGCCCTTTGGTTGAACTTTGTATAGAAAGGGGTTTAGTTACAGGTAATACATACTTTAAGAAAAAGAGGATAAATAAGTATACAAGATATGATGTAGGGCGAAATAACAGTAGTTTGTTGGATTATGTATTGGTAGATAGAAGACTCTTAAGTAGACTTCAGGATGTACATGTTTATAGAGGGGCCACAGATATAT